AAAAAAAAATCTTTAGGACTTTGAGGACAAGATCACTCCTGACCTGGCTAGCATACGCCCTGTCCTATTTGGCCCTGTATGATTTGATTTGGAACACTTTTCAAACTTACTGCGACAATGGTCTGCAAATGAAAGCATTAATGCCAGAGCTCCTTTGTTATTGCCTTGGTTGTAAGGAACACTAATGACCACTGCCTCAGTGCCTGCTATCCTGGGAGCCCTGAGAATCCCATAAACATTCAAGCCAGCCACATCTGGCAGCTCTGAAACACCAGGAAACGGCAAGTGGACTGTGAAGTTCTGTTGATAAGTCTGAAGGCCAATATTTTCCATTGCATTCATGATCATCTGTGATGCAGCATTACTGGAAAAAAAAGATTACATTAATAATGATTTTATTATAGTAACTATAGTTAAATACCAGTATTTATCTTAAAGCTTCACATATGGATGGCCATCAGATTTGTATACATTTTCAAAATAACTACAGTACTTTAAAACAGTACCTCATATCTCCTTCTGGCAGTGTTGATAACTTCCCATACAACTCAGAAGCAAGTCTGTGATTCTTGTATTCTGCTTCAACCAGTCCAGGTAGCAATGCATTTTCAGAAAAATAAACCCGGCCATTGAATGCTCGATCAGACAAAGCACACAGCCAGACAATGCCGATAATATAACTAAGTATACTGTGAAAGCAAACAAAAAGGTTATGAGATCAATAAAATAAAAATGCTACTATCATGTATTACAGAGGCACAGTTATTAACTTAAGACTACATACTGCAGCAAAATGTGATGGGGTATTTTCTATACTTAGGAAAACAACTTGGAGAAAAATGATCTTTCTTGTTAGTTTTTGTAACTATACAATAACATGATCATTATCCACACATAGACATGTGCAATCTTAAAAATGAAGCTGGAAACCAGAGTGCATTTTATACAGGTTATGCAGAAGATCTTTAGCATAGATTTTCGGTTTTTTTTTTTACGATTATCAATTCCTTAAAATTATGACATACCTTCAGCATGAGTTTCACATGGACTGCACCTTAGGCTGGAAATATTTTATTATTTTTTTTACCACAATTTTGTGTTAAGCACTGATAAAGAATGCTGAATACTTTTTCTCACCATCTGACACCCTACATTAATTATCATAAGCTACTAATACAGTACATGTCATTCACCTACAGTACATATCACATATGTAGCTTTAAGTTAATTCATTTATTATGTACAGTAATTTTAAAATATTTGCATTTTCAGTTAATTCAGATTCAAACTAGTAGCATTTACCACAATTTTGAGCAGTGAGCCACCAAGATATCTACAACTTTCTTCCTGCCATGGACATCTGACAACAGACCCATTTCTTCTCACACAATAGAACTACACAGGTAGACTGGCTATTAATTTATACTGTGGCTTCACCTGAAATAGAAAAGAGGACATTTTGTGTTTAAAGAAAAATTTTGAGTAAAAGTTAATATACACCTGTATTATGGAATGTGATGAACTTAAGCTTTTGAAAGGTTACGTTTTGTACCAGCCACATTGTGCAGAGTATAGTACACAGCTGGCGTCAATATTCATTTCTGCAATTCTGTACTACCAAATTTACAAAATTAGCAAATTTACATCTAAAACTCTCACTTGACTTAGAAAAATGACAGAATTTATACAAAGGATATATACGACAGATTTATGAAGACTTTACTCTCTCAGTACTTACCTCCTCACACTCCGAAACTAAGCTACAGAAATACGCCAAAAAGTTCCCAGATTTTCCGCCATCTTTAACAATCCTCATATCCAGGCTCTATCTAAGCGAACACGAACATGAATTTTGGCGAGGTTACATTTCTCACTGATAGTCATGCGCAGTCGGTCAGGTTATGCAATATTGTCCCACTGAATTCTGGGAGAAAACCACGTCCATTTCAAGATGGCGTTCAGTTGCCGGTTACGAGGAATTTCGAAGCGATTACAGGATGTTTTTAAGGTGACAAAAGTTTTTAGTTCGTGAGATGTTTGTTCTATATGTAGAAAATTCTTACAGAGAAAGTCTCAGTGGAAACATAGATGGGGTTGTTGTACAGAACCTACCAACTTCACGCTTTTTCGAGAATCAGAAATGCTGTAATGGCGCAGCGATCATACACCGCTAAAACTAACTAAAAGAGCTTGACTTTTCTGAGAGCTAATATTTTTAAAGCTCTGCGAGTTTTTTTTCTGATACATGTACATTTTGTACATAAACGTCGACTCCGTTATCAGTGCTCCGTTGATTTCTTTAAAATATAAGCTTACAGTCCAGTATCAGGATATCTGAGCTTAGTATCACTGTAAATAAGCTTTAGCTTAAATGTTATGTAGTGTCCCTTGATGGATGTTTGCAAATGTCGTTATGTCGAAGTTTGATTTGTTTTAATATCATTATTTTTGAAGCATTAGAAATGGAAGGTTGGTTAGTAAGAAATGAACTGGCTGGGTGCTTTGTAGCCTGCGAATGCAGACATATTTCCGGCTGTCACTTGTCTCCGCTGAAAATAACGTCTGTGAACTCAAGCCAGGAAACGATTTCTGTGTGGTAGGAATTTTAAGCCAATCACAGTTTAGCTCAAGTAGCCCCAGAACTACTGCACAAGGTATTCGCTGCAAGGAGCACTCAAGTTTCATTCTATCATGGAATCTGACTGGCCAAGGAGAAACAAAAGTCATTACATCGCAGAAATTGTTTGCTGGCTCAGGTTCGCAGTCATTATTTTTGGCAGAGACAAGCGACAGCCAGAAATACATCTGTGTTCGCAGGCTAGGTGCTTTGACATGGTGCAAAAAAAAAATTGTTGTCTTTGTTGAAGCATTTAAGCTTATATGAGAGGGATCCACCGTATCTGTATTTATGTTAGAAAACAGGATGATGGCAGGACGACAAGTAAGGGTAGATCCCTCATCTTAACATCCTCTTTTTCCCTTTAGGCTTTTTCTACAGACATGCTTTGTGCAAGCTATGGCATATGACATCTATCTCATGTTTTGAAAATAAATTTTTACAGTGAGCACAATGCAATCTTCATTGTTTCTCATCACATTTTCTTTGCAATGACTTTAAAAACTAGATGCAATCCAGACTGACAACCACAGCAGCTTTAGAAGGGAGCAAAAGCAACCCAAAAGTAAGTGGTTTTTATCATGTTGTATAAGTAGTACAGTATGTGCAGGTCAGCGTGAAATAGTGTACATGTTTTCAGGAGTACAGTGAGATACTTGATATACATACTCTGATCATTTACTTGTACATATTCTCAGGAGTGCAGTTTCAATACCTGTACTTGTTCTATTCATAAACTGCATATTTTGTTCTTTTCTAAGATGTGGTTTGCATTTGGTGCCCTTGCTGCTGGGGGTCTTGCTACTGGTTACATTCTTCAGCCGAGTGTTGGTGCCGCAGATCTTGAACTTCACCCTCCACACTTCCCTTGGGATCATAAAGGTCTCCTTAGTTCACTGGATCATGCAAGGTATGCTCATGTATGATGTGGCTCAAAATCAAGTTACAAGTTATTCAGCAATATATTAAATTTGGAAAATAATAACAATTTTTTTATCGATAGGAATCAAAGCCTAGAGGGTTAGAGACTTAAAATCAATCAAAATCACAATTAAGTAACATGTACTGGCTTTATTTGTTTTAATTTTGTGGAAATTTTATTTTATTTACTCAATAATATATTTAGTGTATATGTACACTGTATACATGTAGGTCTTGATGAATATGTAACATACTACAATATGTTGCAGACAGTTAACTAAGAGTTTATCTTTGTTTGCCAGTATTCGGCGGGGCTATGAAGTTTATAGACAAGTTTGTGCTGCTTGTCATTCAATGGACCAGTTAGCGTATCGTCATCTTGTGGGTGTAGCTTACACTGAGGATGAAATGAAAGCTATTGCCGCAGAGGTATGGAAACAAACTCCTTTCATGACTTGGTCATGTACGCTTAAATTTTGTAGTTTTGTAACATACATGTACATAAACAGAGTTCTCCCGAAAATTTGAAGAAGAGGGAGAATAACTTTGAGTAGGCGGCGGACAATGCCGATAAAAAGACGTGGAGTGGTTTTAT